TTTCCCCCCCCCCCCCCATCTGACAGAATCCACAGTGTTGTCTCTCCTTCCCTCCCTCCCTCCTCCCGCTCTCCTTGCATCCATCCCACTCTCTCTCCACCCACCAGGCTTATCACCCCCCTGCCTTTCTCCAACATCTCCTCTTGGCACATGCATTCCACCTCTCATATCCAGGACATGTTACACCCCCCTTTAACCCTGTCCCTGCTGCAGTGGGGGCTGGGTGTGTGGGTGTGTATGTTGGGGGTCAGAGCAAGGCTGATAAGTTGAGGTTCAGGAGAGCAGAAAATGAGGGGGAAGGGCGGCAGAGACAGACTGGTGTGTTACGAGTTAGTAGAGAGGAGGTACCATGGTGCTGAATACATTATTCAGGTTGTTTATTTTGTTAGGTTTGGATGTATAAGAGTCTAAAAGTGTTGAAAAAACTGGAACAGGATTAATTTTTACAGAAATCTTCGTAAGAGTTGTTCAGTTCAGCTACATACGGAATTCAAGGATTATTGACTGACAAAATGAAAAGTATTATAATTAACAGTTGCATATTTTTTAATCCCATTAACCTGCAGGAAGCCTTGGATTATCCTCTTTATATCTATGATCACTATCTACTAGAAACCTCTAAACTTCATCTTTTTGCTTTGGAAGAACAGCTCCCTCTTCCTGTTACATGGTGTAGAGGCCCAAAGTGTAGTAAGTAGTTTGCTGTGCATCAGCGAGAGGGCAGTTCTCCTCTGTACATGTACGTTTTGCTTGTTCTTACTTACTTAAATACAGATTTGACTAAGGACTGAACTTCATGCTACCATTATGTAGTCAAATATGAAAATCTCTCTTAGAGTGATAGACAATCATCTTAGTTTTCACTGTGAAATAATCCAGTAGATTTTGCAGGATGCCTCACCCAACGAACCAATGTATGCAGAGGCTGCTGGTCTTTTCAGCAACAGTCTTATTTGTTTCCAGTAAATATAAGAATGTACTAAATTTTTTGAACTTAGTTTTGGAAAGCCTTTAGTTTGGTTTTGGTGTCAATTATTTTTATATTACTTTATGCTGTTGGATAGCTTACATCACTTTATTAGTTGATTTTTATTTTATATTACAAATCTGAATCTGCAAAGTAACTACTATCTAGTAACTAAAGCTATCGAATGAATGTAGTCAAAGTGAAGTCTCTAACAACAATATCCTGCTCCTCTTTACAAGACAGAGTCAGCTTCAGGACTTCAGTAATGATTTTAGTAGCAGTTAGTTGTGGACTAAGACACGAGTGAGACAAACAACAAAACAACAAATGAACTTGTTGAAGTTCCCTAGCTCTACAAGACTCATTGTTAGCTTATGTGTAAAAATGTAAAAACACCAACTCATACATGGGAGTAATGTTACGTTTGTGAATACGGTTACTAAAATAAGTTTCAGTGGCAGCAACATTACTGAAAGATATAACGTAGCGATTGCTACATGAGCTCTATCACTGCAACAGAGTGCATTATTTTGTCATTTTCAGTGGTGTAATGTGAAAACGTGCCGTGCTTGTCATCATAGAAAGAGATCATAAGGTTGTGGTGTTTTTGCAACTTTAGCGAAGAGGATTGTGGTGTTTGTAACTTCAGAAATATCTCCTTACTGTAGATACACCTCACTCACAGGATGCTGTGTCTGTGCCTGTGTAGTGCAGAGGTGGTATTTACTCAAGTATTATTACTCAAGTAAAAGTAAACAAAATGTTGGCTCTGAAATGTATTCAAAAGATAAAATTTACGTACTCAGTACTGGTATCCTCCCCCAAGAAATTTTAATATTTTACTAAAAACTTTGCATAATCAAATATTTTATTTGATTTTTTAATTTATTTATTTTACTATCATCATAGTATTTATTTAACAAACCCACACTAGTTGTAGTTATTCGCATATTTTTCACAATATACATAGCATATTTTAAAATGAATTTATTTTATCTGAGATAAAATGCTGAATGTAGGATCCAATAATTGGCCAGGCCAATAAACTGTCGGCCTTTTCTAAATATACTAAATTAACTGATGCAAAGACACATACAGTACATATACCTTTTGAATAATACTATTCATTTTATTAATTCAATGAGCTCTAAATTAGCACCTCAGGAGCTGAAGTATTTCAGTCTTGTCATGGGCGCCTGTGACCCTCGAGATCCAACGAGACCGGTGCAAGATTTTTTTCTTTTTAATGAAATAAACTCAGTTTTTTACCCCATTAACTGTAACAATACAGCTGATCGATGTGGATAACCTTGAGGATTATAGTGATGAACGTTTCACCCGACTCTGCACCGTGAGCGACACAAAAAAGGACAACTCTACATCCACACGGACCAGCAAGAGACTCCGCCAATCTGTCTCCATTCAAATTTGGACAAATCATGCTTATACTGAGGTCAGTGGCATTTTAATCTCCACAGACAATAAACTTTCCGGACTTGATGCAAGAATAGCATTCGTTGAAGTGCTACACAAGGAATTCCAGCAGTTATGCAACAGCTTGGAATTCAGTCAGGAACAATTAGCCACACTAACCAAAGAAAACAAATCCCTCAAACACTCGGTCACTTCTCTCACAACACAGCTTTACCATACTGATCTACAGTCTGTAGTATGAGAGACAACCTTGTTTTTCCCGACATCCCAGAGCAAACTCATGACGAAAACCCAGAACAGTTGAAACTAAGGGTTCATCACTCCTACTCCCTTATCGACTTCTTAATCAGCAACTCAGTAATTTCCAACATATCAGAAATTCTTATACACCCCATTACTATTAGCGATCATGCTCCCGTCTCCCTCACCTGAAATATTAACCAGTCTCGCAAACCATACAACAGATGGCGATTTAATACATCCTTGCTCGATCACCCTGACTTTGACAATAAGAGAGTGGGCTTTCTTCCTAGAAATAAATGATTCACAAGAAATAGCACCATCACTACTTTGGGAAAAAGGGAAAGCGGTATTAGGAGGGCAAAAATAATGGAAAATCATACCCCCGCACACAAGAAAAAGACACTGACCAGGAAAGATACTTAAAACAAAAGATTGAAGAACTATAAAAACAAGTGCAAATAACCCAACAGCACAGATCCAGAATGATTTACGGAAATACAAATTACAACACACGACATTGTTGTCTTTACACTGACATTAAATAAATCATTAGCAAAACATAAAAGAAACATTATGTAAATAATGTGTATATTATGACTTTGACAATTGACAAATGTGTACATTATTTACTGTAAATTCTGAGAATTTCTCCAGATTAAATCCTCCATTCAGACTAAAATTAACATTAAATCAACTGACTTAAATCTCCCACCACTGACATCAGAATTGATTAACATTACTACAAGAAAAAAACAACTTTTCTAAATTTATAAGACAATTTCCAATTCCGACCAAACAATATCCATCCCTTGAGAAAAATAGGAACAAGATTTCATCCCACATCACCCCTGGGACTGACTTCTGGATCCAAATCTGCAAAAAACCTCTACATTCTGACATTTATCTATACTGCACAAAAATGCTGCCACATCCCACTATCCGCCGCACTCTGCTTACTGGGAGACATCTGGAACATAAACGTAGACAACACGTCCATTTACAGAATACTCTTCATAGCCCCAACTAACCATCGCCAAGAAAACTAACCTCATGAACTGGAAATCAAGGAACCCAATCAATATCAGACTGTGAAAAAAATGTATTAATTGAATACATATCAATGGAAAAATGACAAAAAAAACCAAACTGTTAACTTAGAGATCCCCGCTTGTCTCCTGCTGTGGCTTCTAGCTGTATTGCTGGGGGGGGCTGGGTGGTGGGCGCCTATTGCTCTCCTCTCTCGTGGCCTGCCCTCCTCACTGTCCTATTTGAAATACAAGAAAATGTAAAGTATTGGAATGATTATTATATTACTTCATATAGTTTGATGACCATAATATGTTGCCGTTCTACTTTACTTATTTAGTTATTTAATATTTATCTTTACATGATACAATTATTAGCATTATAATATTAATATTAACACATTGTATATAAACAATTTGTTTGTGTTATTCATCTTGTCCGTACCCCACAGACACTCACATTGCCCACACTGACCCTGTGGTTGATTACAATGTTGTAGTTTTGTCTTGTTGTATGTTGTTTGTATGTGTATTCAATTTGATGCCGCATAATGTTGTGAAGCCAAGCAAGAGACGTCAGTCTGCACTGTTTACAATGTATGATGAAATATGTGTGCACTATCAGGAGATGTGATTTAGATAACAGCTTGGATACTTTAGAATACAGGATTACAAAAGGGCGATGAAGTAAGAAGAACAAAGATGTTGAGGAAGGCAGTAATCAGTTAAATGATAAGAAAAGATCAGAGCATAAGCTCAATAATTAGCCTCGTCTGATCCTGATTTCTACCCTTGTCCCTTTTCTTTGAGCTTGCAGTGTTTGTTTACTTCCAGGCCTTCTTTGGGCCCTTATTTTGTTTTTACAGTATGTAGAAGATGGAGGTCTAAAATAAAAGTAATTTGATGTCTTCATGCAGCATGATGGTTAACATAAAGTGTGATTCTCAGTGACATCTTGGTATATAGACGTGTCTTTGATTTAGGGGTGTTATGTCACTGTCGTCAAGAGTTCACATGAGCTCTCCTTTGGGAAACTTGTCATCACAGATGAAATACTTAATCTTTCCTCTCATGCTCAACAAGAGCAACATAAACAAACTTCAAAGTGTTGTCCATCATGATTGCACCATGTAGTGGTGATTGGTCTGAGCAAAGAGTGTTCAGCCTCTCATCACCTGACTGCAGCGGGGTAGACGGACGGACGGAGGTGGTCTTCCTGTGTGGTTTGAGGCAGGATTTCCTTCAGTAATGCTCTCTCTCTCTCTGCCGGCTCTGTGGCCCCTAACTTGACCCGCGGGCACGCTGACCTGCCAGTGCTCTCTCTCTCTTCCTGGTACCACTGGCTCAATAACTGATCCCAAGGCAGACCTCAGAAAGTACACAAGAAGAAACGTGTAAGGTTATTCTGTGCAGTTTCACAAAGGTTTCTTTCACTGTCATCTCAAACAATATTTCAAACATTTATAATTTATAAAGATTTATTTTCTTTCCATACAGAAAGATTAGCTTTCTTTTCTTTCAGTTTAAAAAAAACATTGACAGTGTTGTAAGAAGAAAACATGAACGCTTTAAATGATAAAACATATTTTTATTGGCTGCATGTGTTTTACTTAAATATATTCATAACACATGAAATATGCACTTAATATAAATATTTCCATCTACATAAATTATAATTAATTAAATTTGCTTTCCACTAAACATTTTAAAGACAATGGAGTTGGCATGGCTTCTCTGATGTGTAGTTACTTGACAAATTTGGATACTATAGTTCTTTTCCATATGAGCCCCTTTCATTCAGGAATCGTGTCTTTGTGCCAGCTCAAAATGTAAAGAGCATATCTGACAAACTTTGCTTGTTTGTTTTTTCTTTGTAAGAAAATACAAGCTAAAGCTGAATAAAACATGCTATATGAAAACAGGAAGAAGTAAACCATCGAGGCTGTTTGTTTGTTTATAGTAATAGTTTTATACAGTTTTATCCAACCCTATTTTTTCCATACATCCAGATACAGATTAACTGAACTGTTTGGTGTTTTGTAGTGTAGAAGACATCTGCATGGTCATATTTCTTTCTCTGACTTTTCTGCACTTAATTACGATTTTTTTATTAATTACACTCCCTCATTCTGTCAAATGCAGGTACATTATATGGGAGTATGGAAGCTGTTGGGAAACATAGTTTACACTCGGGGGTGTAAGTAGTGGTTAGTCACAAATGTGACCATGAAAGTGACGTTAAAATGTTGGTTACTTTTTGTGTATGAGGTTTAAAAGTGTTATTTGACTCCGTTGAATTCTCAGTGAGGAAACTAAAGTCTGGGCAGTCCTTTAACTGCCCCCTGCTATTTCCTGCTTTGCTACTGTGAGTTTTTGCTGCTAGTACAATCTCCTTCCTTAGTTTATCCTGGATGCTGATGTCTAAATGGAAACTACTATCAACTTCAGCCTTATTTTTTCACACGCATTTCTAACAATAGCAGTCAAGTTGAGGACGTGAATGACAAAGCTGTGCCAAACATTTGTCATAGCTGAGGCATATGACTTGTTGTAGGTGTGGACTGTAAATGGATTTAAAGTGGACGCTTTTGTTGGCACTGAGTTTGCTACAAAAGGTGGGAAGTGATACAAAAAAAAGAAAAGATATTTCTAGTTCAGAAACAAATGGATTTAACAGAATTTGACAGTTTTAGATGTTGAAGTGTAAAGTCTTGTATGTAGTTTATTTCAGTCCTTAACATTTCATCAGGTAAACGCAGGAGTCTGAAACATTCGAGGCTTCACGTTGAGGGATGCATACAGACTACTGAAGGCTGGTGTAGTAATGTGACAGGGAACATTTGATGTAAGGGTATATGGTCCTAATAGGGTTAGGCAACTTATCAGTGTATACTGAGACCATTTGAAATTGTCAACTGTCTGATTTTGCCGTACTGTTTATACCATGGTAAGCTGTCCCATTCGTTTCTCCAGCTTTATTAGGTAATTGTGTGCAAATTAATGAGAAGAACTGTTTTTGTTGATATTGAATTTTTACATTTTTGCTTTAATGTGACAAGGTACTTTGATTTGCCAACTACAGATATTCCTGTTTGGTTAGTTTATCTACAAACATGTACACTGTATATGTAGAATGAGAGCAGTTAGACTTTGCTCTTGCCTTACATGGTGTGAGGACAGAGAGAAGCTGAGTTCAGTCTAACTTTGATGATCAAGCCAACAAACTATTATATCCAACCTGCTTGCTGTATTATGAGAAATGCTGACTCTCTTATTCATATGTTGCTAGCAGAAGTGATGTGACCAAGCAACTCAATTGGAAAAAAAATCAGACAGGTCCTTGTAAGTTCTGGATTTATCAAAAAGCGTTTATTAATAGTCATAGTAATGTCACACAAATTCACAAGTGTTTAAGACATGTCTGGCTCAGTTTGGTGTGTGTGTCTGCAAGTATGTCTGTGTGAATTCTCTAAACAGTGCAGTTATAAATAAATGACCACAAAGAGAAGGAAAAGGGTAAGGTAATATTGCAACAGGAAAAATAGAATTCTCATTTTAAGAAGACAAACAGAAAAAGAAAGGTTGTTCAAAGAGAACATTTAGCACCATCTATCCCGTTATCATGTTCAACAGATATCATAAAATCATTAAAATCTCGTCTAAAAGCCCCCTACATGATAAAAAAATTTAACATTTCTCAAAACACTTTGGAAAAAGTCATTTAGTTTTTTCCTTAATGAGCATACAAACACAGCATTCCATTAGTCATCTTCTCTACGTGAGCAGTGTGCCTATCGTCTACAGGAAAGGTGGCGTTATATTCAAGATAAAGATATCATTTAATATATATCAGGAGAAAAAGGCAGGAGTTGAGAGGCAAGCACCAACAAAAACAGCAGCCTCCACTCCTGTGGACACACAACCCCCACATTTCAGTTCTTACAGAGCAATCGGTCACTATAAAAAATAAGGGAAAAAAAACGCAAACTTGTACAACCCTATTAAAAAAGGGAGAACATTGATATCCAATAAATAGAGGAAACATTTTAAATTAAATGTACAATGCCAAAAAAAAAAAACCAGGAAATACTAATTCTGCATATTGGAACAAAACAATCAGAGGTACAACACACAAACACCAGATGACAATGATTTTTTTCTTTTTTTAAAGAGATAGTTCATACAGAGATGGTTGAAATGAACAAAAAGACCTGATGAGTGTCAACTGAATATTAATCTCCAGAGAAAATAAAAGTTTAATTCATACAAACACAAGATTTACAACACATACAAGAATCTTAAAGACAAAATGAATTCCCCCCAAAAACAACCAAAGTCATTAAAACCCGTATGTTTTGAAGCATTCCAAACATTTGTATTTTTTAAAATTCTTAATGCTTTAGAAAAATGTTCATATCTCTATTATTAGTATTTTTCATTTTCTCTCTTTTCTAAATACAAGGCCAATGTGGTATATATCTAGGCTGATCTAGTTTAGAAAAAACAAAACAATAAATTATTTTAAAAAAGACAGCACCCCACAAAAATTGCAAACAGCATGTACAAATTTCAGTATTCAAGACGACAACAGAAAAAAGTTCTCTCTGGTACTGACAGAAACACGCCATTGAAACCATCAACTACCCTCCATAGTTTCTTCAATGGCAGCACCAACTGCCCCCTGGTTCTCAACTTCACTGTTGCCAGGGTTTCTGGTTGAAAGCACCATCTGAGAGTAAACTGGTATGTTATTGGCGGCTTGGTATTTCTTTTTGTAAACAGTAATGATGAGTAAACGTATTCAACTGGCTGTTCGGCAAGTATTAGCAGTAGTAGTAGTAGCAAAAATGATCTTAAATAATGAAAGGTAAGTTGAAAACCAAAGTGAAACTGTGTCTTTTGTCCTGGCTTGCAGGAGTTTTGGTTATGGCTGAGGAGACGAAGGAGGAGCTCTGTCACCGGGAGGAGGAGGCCTGGTGAGACAAGACACACAAAAGAAACTATTAATGTAATAGTACTTTTTAGTCGTTTTATATCAGGTCAAATGAACGGCACAACAGGCAAGAGCCTCAGAAAGCAGGAGGATGTGCGCGTGTACTTACCAGGTTGAAGGAGTCATATGTGTTCATGAGCTCCTCTGTGCGGTACTGCTCCAGCACCACTACGTTGTTCAGGTTTGGGCTACGCTGACGTGCGCAGTCCTCACAGTGAACCACATATGTCTTCCTGCTGTTGCTCTCACTTGTCACAAACAACAGATTGAACACCTCCACCTGTGACAGGAGACAAAAGAATAAGAAACAGAGGGAAATGATTTAAGTGATATCTTGAAAAGGTTTTGACTTGAGCAAATTGCCTGTTCTGCTTTTGATCATTTGTGACCACCACTAGCGTAGTCTAAAATAACAGCCCTGTATCCTACCATGGTAGTCATTTTGGAGGCTGTAGTTTGTGGTGTTGTTGAATGGTATTGCATTGTACTTGGGTCTCTCTAATTATCAATGAGTAGACTAAATATCAGAAATACATTGCAATACAATTAAAACACAAAACTACAGCCACCAACATGTTTTTTTACTCTAAAAACCTTAATGAAGGTTGGATTTATTGCAGGATTGTTATATTCGACTGCATTATTTTAGCCATAAACTCTAATGTGTATCGACGGAGCATAGTTAGTGGCTTTTCTTAAAATTTTATCTTGTGTACTCTCTACGTCTAAAGACACACCCTGTATGGAAAAACACCACAGGTTGCCAGTTTATTGGCTACAGAGTAACCAATGTGGTTTCATAAATGTAGTTCACCTTCATTAACAAATGGGGTGCAGAAAATGTTCAACAGACTCCATGACAATACAGTCATCAACATTTCTAGCTCCCTGAATGTTAGATCTGTTTCAACTATGTGTTCGTCCATGATGAGAGTTTCATGTTTAGAGTGACTGTTACTCACGTCACACTCGTTGCAGTAGTAGGCGGGCTCGTCCTTGACCCGACTCTGATAGGAAAGCTTCTTGCCTTCAGCCACTAGTTGGTCCCGCAGGATCTGGATGTGCTTTATGGACTGCAGCAGGCAGTGTCTGGCAGAAAGATAGATACCAACGTTAGGATTAAATCGTCAACTGTTTAGGATTTGTTTTCTGTTTACACTGTTATGTACTTAAAAATGCAATTTAATGGAACAGTCCTGCAATAAATCCTGCTGTAGTGCAGTTTTGTCACCTTGATGGAGGTAAGAGTTATTGCAGGGCTGTTCATTAGTTTGAGCTAGGTGTAAGTAATTAACAGGCAGAGTGTAGTTTGTCTCTACTCACTTAATCATCTTGTAGGTGTCTGGGTCAGTGATCTTTACAGTACGGGCCACGTTCCAGGACACATGAATCATGGGGACGATGGATTTGACCTTCTTGACTTCGTTCCACTCAAACCTCTCCATGGCCAGCTGGTACTGGTAAGCTGCAGATACACATAAAACACCAACTTACTAAATGTTGTTACTGTTGTTGAAGTAATCTGCGTCACTAGAGAGGGTGCACTCCTTACCACTGAGAGGTCCGACGTTCCAGGCGATGTTGTTGCACCAGCCAACAGCCTGAACCCAGTGAACAGTTCCAGCGTTGATCCACACCAGGTCTCCAGGACGCTGGATGAAGCGGTACACAGGGATGTTGGCTTTGTACAGGTCCTCCAACACTGGCCACCAAGACCCTGTAAGGTAGTCCACTCCATGCCTGAGCACATAAGAGGAAAAAGTTGTGTTAGAGCGAAAACCTCTGTAAATGATGTAAACTGAGTGATATAAGCTTGTCTACTCACTTTTCACAGAAGTCACTGATGGCGTGCCAGTAGTTCTCATGGACAGAGAACCACTCACAGTCTCCAGGGCCGATGTTGATATTCACAGAGCAAAAGTTATTGTTCTCCTGGTGACCTGTTGAATAAGGACAGAATATCTCCAATCATATACATTGGTATTACATAGTAATTTGCGTATAGTTGTTGAACTAAAGGTGTCTTCCACCCATTACAGGCAGAAAGTCAGTATCCCTTACCTGGTGTTCGGCTCCCTGGAACCTTCATGTAGAGCTGGACAGTGTTCATGCCCAGGATGGTGTGTCCAACGTGGCTCAGCATGTTTCCACTGGATGCTACACGCATAAATGCTGGCAGCTTCTGCAACTCCTGAAGCTGGGGCTTCCACCTGAGCACAAACAGCAGGTTAGAAGTTTGGCTTTAATAATGTCGGTGGATTAGCTGCAGTGAATATGTAGAAATGAGTACAAAGGTCCTTCTGATACAATCATGCTGCAGTACTCAGTCATGACCACTAGAGACCACCATCTATATTGCTCACCTTTTGGGATCTGAGAGATCAATGTTAGTGCCAAATTTAATTATCTTCCCCACTGGTTTCTGCTCAGCACTGAGGAAAAGGAAAATACAGAGCATTAACACAAATCACAAAACACTTCAGTGTCTTAATAAACCGTTTGCTCTTGTAACATCAGCTTTACCTGCTACTTTCTTTAGAGCTGTCTTTGATGGGAGTGTCAGAACTAATGGATGGCTTCTTCTCCTTCTCATCATCTTCTTCATCTTCCTCATCACTGCCTTTCTCCTCCTGAAGACAACAACAACAACATGTTTATCACCTGGATTGCAACGCAGAAATGTTGAAGTCCAGACCCCTCTACTTGATAAAACCATTAAACTGAAATACAGTGTATGACAGTGGTTCCCAACCTTTTTCCTAGAGGCTCATTTTCTATCATTTAAGTGAACTGATAAGTCCTGACTAAGTGATGTATTTTGTGGATATTTCATATTCAAAACTGTACAATGAACCCAAATAGTGAACTCAGTAACTGCAGGAAGTTTGTGTAAAAGGAGTGATTTTGAGCTGATGTTTTCCTGTCCCTGGTGCTTTGCCATTGTTCTATTAGACAATTTATTTTCTTTACAGAAGTGAACAAAATGCTGAGATATCGGCCTACTGTGTATATTTTTTGTTTGTTTTCTTACACCCCTTTAAATAATGAAGGCCTCCCGACCCCCAGGTTGGGAACCCCTGTATCAGACTGGAGAAACAGTGACAGCAGTCGAACACGTTTACCTGCAGACTCTCCTGGAAGCTGGAGGCCTGGTACTGGGCGTACTTGGCGATGGTGGTGTGCGAGCGGCTGCTCTCACAGGGCCACGTCTGACCGGTCCCACTGGGGTCCCAGTTCTCATCAGCAGGCTGCTGCACCTGTGTCCTAACCTCCACCGCCTGCTCTGCGTTGGCTTCCACCAGTGACTTTGTAGAAAACAGTCCCAGGTCTAGAATAAAACGAGGGGAAACATTAGGCACATACTTTTGAGATAGGTATATAGTACCCAATTGCTTAGACTGTAGAACAGCAGTGATGATGCAAATACAGAAAGTATTGCATATAAAGAAAATGAATGTGTTACAGGGACTGTACACTTACTGAGTCGTAGAGATCCAGCCAGGCCTCTGATGACAGTAACAGGATTCTTGGGATCTGTACAGAACTGCAGCAGCACAGGGGAGAAGGCGTCCCTCTTGCTCTCCAACTACACAGAATAAAAATCACAACGGTGCACATTAACACAAACTGTTGAGCTCATTTGTCTTGAGGCACAATGAATAACCACAAGAGGGCAGCACAGGCTGTACACTCTGTGTACACTACATAATAAGCCAATTTGTTCTGTTGCTTTGAAGAATGTATTATTTGTGCTTTCTCATTAAACATTCAGATTGGTTGATTTGTGTGTCAAATGATACAGCAAATACTGAAAGAAAGATAGTATATGTAGCAAATGTAGTGGACAGTGACGTACATAGATGCTGGGTGTAGGAGGGTTGAGTTTCTCTCTAGGAATGGGTTCATCTGCACTCATGATGGGCTTGACAGAGAAGGCTGGGAGCAAAAAAGATTCTCTGAACTTCCCTTTCACTCTGGAACTCCTAGAACAGGAAAGAGAACATGTTGACAGATGCAAACATGAACGTACAAAACAGATTCATTTTTCTTGGCTCAACATAACTGCCTTTTAAAATGCTTCTACGTTGGTCATAGTAATACACGAGAGGTAATTTAAACTGTAGTTTTAGGAAAATATCAATGAATCCCTGAGATATACAAAAAAAAAGTGTGATAAAGTCATCGACAGTGCACTTACTTGCAGGACCTGATGATTTCACTGGCAGTGTTCTTGATGCTGATTTCCTCCAGTGGGATCCTCTTTTCCTCCACCTCAGAGGCGATAAATGTCTCCCTGTCCCCGCTCTCCACTTTGATCAGGCGAATCTTCAGCTCCTTGGGTGGCCCATCTGACAGTGCCTTTAGTTTCAAGAAGTCTGTTGAGCCCAATGAAGAACCAGATTCAGAGCCTTTTTTGTGCTTCGAAGAACATTCTGCATGCTCCTCTTCACTAGTGGAGCTGGCACTGGACGCCTCCTTGCGTTTCTTTTTATCTGAGTCATAATGACTGCGATTCTTCTCAGACCCCTCCTTGCGCTGGAGGTTGAGGTCACCGAGAATTCTGCGATCCTTCTTCTCCTTATGGCTCTTGCCATCCTTGTGCCGCTTGTGGCTGGAGCTGGAATGAGTGGAAGATGAGGATGAGGTTGATGATGAGGATGAGGATGATGAAGAAGAGAAGACCATTTCCTCTCTCTTTTCTCTATGCTTCTTTTCTTTCCTGTCTTCATGCTTCCTGCTGCTACTGTGGCTGTGACCGTGCTTTCTCTTCTTCTCTTTCTCCCTCTCTCTCTCCCTCTCTCTGTCTCTGTGTCTGTCTTTCTCTCTGTGTTCCTTTACTTTCTCAGGTTTGTGTCTGTCCACTATGCCATGGCTGTCAAGATTATCAAGGGAGTTCTTGTTAGGAAGTGACTGTCGACTAAGCATGACCTCGCAGCTCTTGCCCAGTTCTGCCAGAGATGACTCAGAGATGGTCGTCAGCAGTTGCTCCTCCTTGACCACTTTAATGGGATTTGTGGTAGAAATACTCTCCTTTTTGGTAGAGTTCATTCTTTCCTCTGTTTCTCCATCATCTCCCCAGACATCATAGTCCTCTATTTTCAGTTTCTTGTCCTCTAGCAGAGGAGGAGAGGACTTGAGAGGTGGGAGAGCTGGACTGAATGGTGGATTGGTTGAATCTGACGTGGGAGAGCTGCCTTGCTGCTGGCGGCAGATGTCAGGGCCCAGTGACAGCGAAGAGGAATATTTGACGCCAAGCAGCGCTGATGGAGGGGGTCTCCCAAAGGGTCCACCACGGTAGGCATACTTCTGGCTCTCCAGGACTGTTGCAAGAGATCTGAACATGCTGTTTACACCTGTTTGGTGGAGGTGGGGTCTTTGGGGTGGTGGAGAACAAGATGGGGTCTCAGAATCGTCTTCATCGTCCTCCTCATCAGCCTCACTTTTAGTCTGCTCAGGGAGGCCATAAAGTTTAGCCAGGTCACTGTGGCGGTAATTGGTGTTCCCTACTCCCATTCCGATGTCCATTGACTGTTTAGGGTTGAGAGGGACGATTGGAGAGGGTTTAAGGTAGTCTTCATCCTCCTCGTTGAGAGAAGATGTTCGGCTGCATGGGGATGCCAGAGAGCCTTGGCGACTGAGCACAGGAGGGCTAGCATGTGGATTGGATCCAAAGTCTTCCTGGTTGGGCTTTGTTGCTGGAATGAGGTCTGGGGCACACAGGTAGCTCTTGATGGGCTGGTCACTAGGAGAAAAGCCAGTCTTTTCACTGTTATACATCTCCTCTTCCTTTTTGATAGATTCATCCAGCATGGCCATGATATTAGCCAGACCATCACGGAGCAGTGTGGACATCTCGGCGGGCTCCTCCTCAAACTGAGCACTGTCAGAGTCAGCGCCACAGCTGCTGGCATTTTCCAAGCCACTTCCTGTCACCTGCTTGTTGAGGATTCCCCTTGTGGAGCTGGAGGTGGAGGATAAAGTTGGTGGTGGAAGGTTTTCTCTGGGAAAAGCCTGATACAGTTTGGGGGGCTCTCTAAGTGCCAAGGTAGGGAGAGAGTGTTGGCTGCTGTCTCTCTCCCTGGCTGAGTCTTTGGATTGGTTGGGTGCGGCTTGCATTGCCGGGGGCTTGTTGGGGTATACCGACTGATTCATCCCTGAGGTACTGTGTGTCGATGAGGGACTGAAAGTCGTTCCACCATTGTTGCCCCACATCTCCCTCTGCCTCTGCTTTTCTCTGGCGTACTCAGTCTGAGGTGTTAGAGGGGGCGGACGCAGCCTTTCTACAGGAGTAGTAGTAGTGGGTGTCTGGCCTGGTGGACAGGGAAGTATGCCACCACGGCTTAGCCAGGGGTAAGGGGGCGAAGCCTGGGAGCTGGGGGGTGGCGGACCTGAAGGAGGAGCAGTAACAGAAGAGAGGCGAGGAGGAGGTGGTGGTGTTTGGGAAGAGTTGCTGGAGAACAGTCTCTCCAGATTTTCAATAGCTCTTTTCGTTTGCTCTTTGTCTTTTGCACTACACAGTTCCTCCTCCCGCTTTCGTTCCATCCTCTTTTTCTCCTCCTCTCTCCTCTCCAACTCTCTTTGTTTTTTCCTCTCTTCCTCCTGCCTCTCCAGTTCTCTCTTCTTTCTCTCCTGCTCCTGCCTCTCTGCCTCCCTCTTCTTCCTCTCCTCCTCTTGCCTCTCCCACTCTCTCCTCTTCCTTTCCCGCTCCTTCTTCTCCCCTTCTCTCTTTTTCCTGTCCTCCTCCTGCCTCTCCCATTCTCTCTTTTTCCTCTCCTCCTCCAGCCTCTCTGCTTCTCTCCTTCTCCTCTCCTCTTCTTGTTTCTTTTTTCTCTCCTGCTCCTGCCTCTCCCACTCTCTCCTTCTCTTCTCCTCCTCCTGTCTATCCAGTTCTCTCTTTTTCCTCTCCTCCTCCCTCTTTTCCAGCTCTTTCCTCTTTCTCTCCTCATCCCGCTTTTGTCTCATCTCCCATTCTTTCTTCCGCCTCTCCTCCTCTCTCATTTTCCTCTCTCGCTCCTCTCGGTCCCTCTTCTTCCTTTCCTCAGCTTGCATATGACCCTCTAGCTCTGCATCAAGCTTGTCTAGAGCCTCTTCGATGGACTGAGGGCCAGAAGTCGGAGCTGGTGGACGAATCTGGGGCTGAGAGTACGCCTGTGTCGAGTCTGGCTGATGACGCAGTCTGGAGGAGAGGGCTGGATTGGATGGCTGAGGGGCAGAGTTGACAGCGGAGCGAGGAGCTGGGCAGTATGTAGTGGGAGAGCTAGGGAGAGGATTTGAAACTCTGCTTGTAATCACACTGTCCCCGGCCCTCTGGTGCCCTGAGAACAAAGATGATGATGAGGAAAATGCAGGAGGTTGCTCCAGTTCAGCCTGAGCATAGTATGCCATCTTCCCCTTCATAGGGTGGGACTTGGTGGATCCCTGTTGTTGTGGTCTGGGCAGTCCCTGTTGGTGAGGCTGGCTGGCAGTGGCAGTTTGGCCTCTCTGAAATCCTGGCTGCAGCAGGGCATCCAGCTGAGAGGTGGAGCTAGCGTTGGTGGAGGTTTGGGTGACTGGCTCTCTTCCTCTCTGCCAACTGTTATTACTGCTGCCATTGTTCACGGGGCAACCAGCAGGGGGTGATGTGGTTAGCGTGGAGACACCAGCCATAGTTCCTCTCGAGCTGCCGCTATAGCCGCCGATGGAGCAGGAGGCCTGGGATATGGGAAGATTGGGGGTGATGACAGGTGTTCGAGTGGAGTTGGTTGGTGGGAGAGGAGGGCTGACATGACGGTGATGCTGGGAGGGAGCTGGAACCTGACTATCCACGACCTGATTGTGGCTCTGCTGGCGCTGAGGTAGCAGTCCTGGAGGCCTGTAGATACCAGACTCCTGAAGAGACACATACAGAACAATTTACAATTCATTCATTTGATAATGATGACTATGTGCAGTTGGGTTAACAGTTCAACTGTAAGCCTGTTAATTAAATTAAAAACACCTGCTGCATTCGATCAAATGACCATAACTGCAGAAGAACAGACTGATACAAACGAACCATTGCATAAATGACTTGTACTCACTAGGGAGTGACTGCTGGCCCTGCTCTGGTACTTCCAGGGCTCATAGATCCCACTTTGCTGTTGCTGAGGTACTGAGGTGCTGCTGGCAGGAGGAGGTGGACCCTGGTGCCCCAGTCCTGGATGAGGCTGGAAGTGGCTGTAAGGCACACTACTGTTGCTGCTGTTGTTGTTGTTGTTGCTGCTGGTTGCAGGAGGGTTTGCTGGTGACAACTGAGCATGTAGGTGTTGATCTCTGTCTCCCCTTGTTGGGGTAGATGCAGTGTGAGAGGTAGCTTGGCTGCCACCTTGGCCCCCAATGAGAGGGCCTCTCTGGTTGTGAGGACCATGACGTTCCATGGCCTGGCAGGGTGGAGCTAGCCCCAGTTTGGAGCTGGAGCTGGGGTAGGAGGAGTGAGGGGACTGCTGGTTTACAGCCTGAGGTTGGAATGTGTCTTTCTGGAGCTGAGGAGCACATCCCTGGTTGTAGCTTCCCGGAGAGGAGTTTGGTGGAGGGGAGAGGTTTGAAGGGGTGGAAGAGACAGGAGAGGACTTTTGGGTGTAGCTGCCCATTCCTTGTTTGTTGGATTCCTGTTTAATTATATAGAACGAGCAGCAGCGGGTTAATTAGAGTAATATAACAATTATTTGCAGCACAGGAAAAATATTGTCTGTCAGGCAGCTAATAGAATCAATACATCTTTAGAGCATCACTCAATCCAATAAAGGTTTCCCATTGATTACAGTCGACAGTAAGCACTATATATCTAAGGAAGGGATATTTCCTTACTGATCGGACCTGGAACTCCTGCAATGATGGATTCTTGCGGTCCGATGTCTGCCAGGGAGTGCTGTTGTTCTTGTGAAGGGGGTTCCAAAAGGCAGGTTTTGGAGGGAGGTGGTGGGCTGACAACTGGTGCTGAGATAGCAAAGAGTGGCCAGGAAAACGCTGCAGCCCAGGATGGGGTACCTACATTAGGAGTGGGATAAATCATTAAACAAGACTGGCAAACAAAAATGCAGAAAAAAATCTAGAACTGACTTTAGATACGTTTTGGTATGACAGAAAAAATGACTTTGTTCTTGTCTGATACCTGATCCGAACTCTTTTTCCTCTTGCTGGGGCTGGGACAGTCCTCTGCAACCGGGCGAGACGACGGGTGCAGTGATGGCGGAGGAGTGTGCTGGATAACAGAGTGCTCGCCCAATGGAGGGCCCGGTCTCTTTAGCTGACCCCCTAACATCTTCCCTGGGTAGCCCCTCTGCTGAGAACAGAAAGATGAAAGGATCAGTGTTGAAGACAACTAGTGCAACTATTGCAGTGTCAGTTCAGAAACATTCCTTTGCTGAAATATTTAGCCAAAGCTCAGTGACGGCGGCTTTGAATGTCTTTCATCTGTCAGGCTGCAGCAGAAATGACAGAATAGGGATTGTTCTATGTCTATATGGATGATGAAATATGATCATAGCCAATTAGAGAGCGCTTACCTGGTGCACCTGAGCCCACATCTCATCTCCCAGCAATTGTGGACCCCGGGGAACATGCTGCTCCTGAGGACCCCCAAACTAAAAAACACAGTAAAAACAACAATAACCGTGAGTTTATTTTTCATCTAAAACAACTGTTAAGACATGGTTTAACTCTGGTGAATAAATCTGCCATGATATCACCTGTAGCATTGTTACTCACCTTCAGCAGTTGGTTGGGCCTGTTTGGGGGATGATGGGGGTTGGGGGGAGGTCCGCCGCTGCCTGCATAGCCTCCATTATGGAGACGAAGCGAGTGCTCATTGGGCAGGGGCATAACAGGATGTCCTTGAGGAGGGACGTGGGATTCATACAGCTGACCTAGTTGCTCCCATGCTCTGTGGGGAGGTGGAGGATGAAGATGATGAGGAGGGGGTCTCTGCTGCTCCCTCTGCAGACCTGGTAACACTGGCTGTGGGAGCTCAAGCTTCTCACCACGCATGGGCCTGAAGAGCCAAAAAAGACAAAAGGGTTAAACAGTATTACAACAAACAAAAAATGACACCACAAGCGTCAGTGTTTCATTTCTGTAAATTAATTACCCTCTTCTTTCTAAAATGTAGTTCTGTCACTAATGATTCTCTTCGTTTCTTACCCATTATTAAAGAATTTACTGGGATGGTTCAGTCCGCCCATAGGACCAGGAGGTAGATGGGAAAGGAGTTGGTGTTGGTTCATTCCAGACAAACACCTGAAGAGGAACACAGACAGCACACACAGTACAGTCAGATGACATTTCTTAGCAGTTTTCATACCAAGGTTATTAAGGTTGTTGATTTGAGATCTTACTTCAGTTCTATTGTAAAAAAAAACTTAAACCTACAACATTTAAGTTAACAAAGAGGTTTGTAAAAGTTTGTGTGTATGTGTTGTCATGGCTACAGACCTGGCAGGTGGCTGCCAGGCGCGGCCGCCCACGGGAGGCCATGGTCCCCGGTGGAGTCCGTCCAGAGGGAAGGAATCCCGTGTGCCACGCCCGCCAAACTGCTCTACTGCGTGATGCATCCAGCCTGTGGATGTTAGTGATACCATCATTTAGTTTGCTCACGCTTACATACAGAAAAACCCATATAGACAGAGCATAGTGAAAAGTTACATACTTAAATATTTGTATTGTATTCGTTATAAAAATGTGATTACCTGAAGCTTTTTATTGACAATCTTTACAAATAGAGGATATAATGACTGTGTGTTACTGTTCTAAAGTGCCATGATCTTTTTAATACTATAGCATCCATGATAGATTTGTGGTCAAATGGCAGACATGTCATTATGCAACAAACACTAGGGTTTGACAGATTGCCTTACAGCTACTGCACCTACAATTACTAGTTAGCCCATCAAAATGATAGGCTTTAGCTGAGGGATTCTGACCCAGAAATGTAATTATTTTAAAATGTTCTTATCTCTTCTGTAACTTATATACACATCAGTTAAAAAGAGATGGTTTTTTTTAAATGTCCCGCTTTAATTTAAACATATTTCCACATGTATTGCCACATATATTTCTATTGACAACTGGTACTAGCTTGTTTAGGGCAATGTAATAGCCATATGTACTGTATACAATATACTTACACCACAATGCCTATCATTAAATGCCATTAAACTGAATTAGAGAACTCGCACTCACCAAACTAGCGGTGTCTGTGAAGCCCTCCACTGCAGCACAGAGAGGGCCTCACTCCAACACTGAGAATAACTGTACTGTCCGACTCCTCTTGCTTTAGCACCAAGAACCCAAAAGCCTATTGGCTGCAGAGAGAGAGAGAGAGAGCCACTATGAGAACGAGCGAGACAGAGACACACTGAAAAGTCAATAAATGCCAGTGGCCTCTCCATTATGTAGGCTAGTTGGTGTGTGTTCATGTGTGTGAGCTGGAGAGCTTGCCAGCGGAGAGGGGAGGGTGTAAGAAGAATATAGGGCAGGGGAGAGCTACTGTGACTGCAGAGGCAACCTGAATTAAAGCTTTTATTTACAGCTAATTCTCATCACTGAAGCTTCCTCTGATTTAGCCCTAGTTAGGACATTCCCCCAAGCAACATTAGCATAACTTAAATTATCTTGAAGTCTCACATGAGGTGGATCATCATGACAGTCTTTGTCTGTAGCTGGCTGCTATGAGTCAGTCCAGCCTGTAGGAGGCGCCAGTAAGCCAGACAGACCAGCATAAGATTATTACTGAGGCCCAGATGGCTCAGTGGGGAGCTCACCTATGAGGACAGACCTGGGGTTACTGTAATCCTTACCATGGGCCTCCTGATAACAAGAGACAGAGGGAAGACTAAGAAGTGAGAGGCCTTGGTCACATGCCAAGTGTGTGTGTGTGTGTGTGGTGTGTGTGTTGTTTGTGTGGTGTTGGAAGCAATGCCAAGTGTGCAAGCTGCATGGTCGTGTCAGGCTTGTGCTGATTTAGTGCTTGTGAGAGAGAATAGTGGGCTCTCTTAAGTGGATGATTGTGTGTGTGTGCTGCAGCGCTCTGAAGGGTGTGTGTATAAAGTGTGTGCATGCCCGGTGGATAGACTAAGGTTTAATCTCATTACGGCAGGCGTGATGGAGAGAGAGAGGGGGGCAGCAGCGACAGACGGTCTGAACAGGATGGAAGGATAGATTAAGGAGAAAAGATGGAGATGGAGAAGAGGGAAGGGATGGAGGGAGGTGGAGTGGAGAGTAGGAACGGTGCCATGAAAACGCCCACACACCTTCCCACACACAAACACACACACCGAGACGACACAAAGGAAAGCGGTTGAGGGGGAAACACATAAAAGAAGCAGAGAGATAACTCCCTCCCCTCCCTATTTCTGAAACACCGGACACACAAACACACACACACACACAGTACAAAAGACAGAAGGTGTCAAGATACAAAGAAGTCGGTTTTTCAAAGTATCTCGATTCAAAAAGACAACAAAAGAGATCCCTGACAAAACCTGAGAGGCATGAGTTTGCACCTACACATTCACCTCTGCTCTTTAAACTGTTAAACACACACTTGTACTGAAGATGTAACAGTCTCTGTTAAATATCAGATTGAAGCTGAATTATCCTCTCCTGATTACTTCACCTTCTCACACTAATTTGGATGGCACAGTTTAAAGATGACGAGACCATCGGACTAGTATATGTGATTTCCGTCACTGTAATGTAAAAGAAGCGAGATGTTCAATTAATTGCGGCTCCAAATGTTTAAGACATGTAATGATAAAGTAATGAAGTAAGTAATGTATAATGCATTAGTTGAAGTGTAACAGACAGGCACACACACACACACACAGGTTATGATTCATTTGTCTTGCTCAGCACAGCACTCTTCCACCAGTTTTCCAGAATTAGCTCTGGTCATACGCAGTCTTCCTCCCACCAGTTCCTCTCCTCTTCCTTTCGTCCTCCCACCAACTCTGGATCTCTCTGTCTCTATTTAAAGCCCAGTTGGGGATATTTCAATTGCTGTACACTTTTAGCTTGGCAGGAGGGGTGCTATACAGTGACACACACACCACCCTCCCCTATCTCTCCCCTTCTGCCTCACAGGGATCATCATCCACCAGGCACTGCTGCTACGTGAAGATAGGCTGGTGTTAACTGTCAAGACTGCAAACGACATGCTTTAAAGACAAACTGAAACAAACACACACTCATGCTGAGCGTACCTTTTAGAGTAGCACCAAGTTATTGATTCACAGTTGTGTTAAATCTCAGCTTCGGCTGCCAATCATCTCTGTGGGGTCTCCTCAACCCTGAAAGACAGAGAAGACAAAAACATTCAAGTCAAGCTGTCATGAAAACAACATGAAGCCACGCTAAACACGATACTCAGAGTTAGGATCAAACTGCCATAAACCTAAAACCTCAAAGCATATGATATAATTCAGGGCTGAGGCTGGTGTTTGCTTTCTATATGAACTGACAACCTCTTTGTCCTGCTGTGTCTCTTTTTTGACAGCGAATCGTCACTACTCTCACCCCTCCTGGTTTCCTGACTTCTGAAGTGACGCCTGGATTCAGAACAGTGTAGAAAACTTGAAGGTGGCCCAGAGGCAAAGGGGTAAATCAGCAGGGAAGCCGGCACAATGGGAGCAAGGGGAGCTCTTGTTCACTCAACTCTTTCTTTCTCTTCTCACAGACACAATGGCGAGACTGACTGTGCAGCTTAACAGGCGAGCAGACACACAAACAAGGCTGATATCGCTCAAACAGGAAGAGCCGGGCCAGCTAAGTCAACTATCACATGTGGAAGAGTAGCGCTGTGGAAACATAGTAAAATAATAAAACACGTAGCATTATGGAGAAAGGAGAGAGGGAAGAGAGTGGCAGGGAGTTTTAAATTAGAAAAATTAAGAAAGAGAGGTACAAAGAGAAACCTAGCAAGAGACCCTGTTGTGACTGGTGAGTGCAAACGGGGACACAGTGGCGAGGTTGTAATTACCACTTTTATAGAGGGTGTGTGTTTATGTCTGTTGTGACCAAACGGTCGTCTATTCCAGTTGCTACCCTGGCTATCACATTGCTCACAGCCACTCTCCCAGCACAGTGTGAGAAACTCAGTACTCTGAAACCAGATAGTGTACACAGACGGCAGACAGTGTTACAAACCAGCTCAGGTTCTATCGGATGATACCAAAGTGATGAAATGTGGTTATACCAGCTATGAGTTAGGTCTTCAGTGCTATATGTGTATGAAGAAAACAGTGAGAGTGCCTGCGTTGGCGTGCATGTATTACGCATTTAATTTTTCGGGGAACCCCCATGACTCAGCGCCCTGGAAGAGGGCTTACCCCAAACCGCTCAACCTAAACTCCACCCTCCTGGGACACGACTTACAATCAGGTGTCCGGGGGCGTATTTCTGTGCCGTCACAAAAGTGACAACAGCAGGAATTTCTCGGACAGTGTGATGTAATTTCTGCTTCCTATGATGCGCGTCGCATTGGTTGATTGTGTGTGTTTAGATAGAAAAACAGGATGTGATGAGCTGCAGGAAAGGGGCGGGGGGGTTTCATGGCCGAGAAAAGAATCAAACCACGAGTTCAAGAGAAATGATGCGGCAAATTCTGCGAACGCGATCACTTTCACGCAAACTTTGGGTAGTTGTCTTTATAACTCCCGAGCAATCAAAAAAGTTACAATTTCTCTGATAACACAAATATTCAGCTTCACTGGCACTCTGAATGCTCAGAGTGCTAAAGTAAGATTGCTTTTTGCTTTCACTTTTACCTCAATTTAACCACAACAAACTGTAGTCTTCCTACAGCTAGTAAGCAGTAAGTGAATCTAGATTAAGTGAAAGTAATTTAAGGACTTGCGGCTCAGTGAAAGTATACATAGCTGATATATTTATCAATTATTGACAGACGATTATCAACAGATGACATAATTAACTGTTACATCCAAAATTCCCCCACAGTACATTTTGTGCAAGTGAAATCCCCCCCATCAACAGCGGACATCAAAGAGACGTTCCTGTTAACACCCTCGTTGTCATAGTTAGGCAAATTAGTTATCATGCCGGCAACGGGGGCCTAACAGGAAGTTTGGCGAAGAGACAAAGTAGTGCCAACCGTTGTCAACCACGCCAACCAAGAAGCTAGAAAAAAAAAAGGAGCTCTGTTGAATCCTCTGTGGCATCTAACAAAGAAACACACAAACAAAATAAATAAATCCACCATAATCCCACGTGACACACAAACCAAAGTCAAAAGCTTGTGGCTGTGCACGGGGAAAGCTTGCTTAGTCCCCAACATGAGCTGGAGGGCACAAATGGTTGAAATTGAGATGTTGAAATGACGTCTGCCTCTGTGCAGTAGCCTTAATTTATCCACCCTCACCCTTCCCTGCCAACCACTGGCCTGCTTCTGGTCCCCAGCCAGACAACCACACTGAGGCCATGAGAGGAAAATAGACTGGAGAGAGACAAGGGGAGCCAGTGAGGGTATACACTGCAAAAAATATCCATTGGTACAAGTGTACAAATTTTACTTTCCTTTATTGTGACACTTGAAAAACCTAAAAAAAAGTATAGTTTGTTCATTTTTCTATTTGCTTGAATAAAATTTAAAAGAATTAACATTCAATACAAGATGAATGAATTGCTGAGCTGGGGATTTGAGTTTATGCAGCAAGGTAGTGTTAATCAATATTGCCTGGGGAAAGAGCAAGTGATAGATGGGTAAGAAGACATCATACAGTGAAAGAGCTGGAGTGACCAGGCCACTGAAAACTAAAAGAAAACTAAAAGCTTGAGGGCGTAGTGGCAGCCAGCTGGAGAGTGTTACTGTCCTAGTAGTAAGTCACTGCAAAGCCTGCCTGATAAGAAATGACCAGATATGGCTGGGAGAAGTAGCAGATAACAGAAAATAGAGCGGGGGAATAGTTCTGGCAGTTTCTGGCTAAGGATGACGGAAAGGCCATGCATGGTCCTGTTCCCTCCTTCCTCTCTCTCTCTCTCTCGTTCTGTCCTCCCTCACCCTCTCTACTTCATTTGGCCATTACATAATCAGTCCCAGATAGAGATCGTGTTCTGAAGGAAACACCGTGCATTTCTCTCTCTCTCTCTCTCTCATACACACACCCACAGAAGAACAGTCAGCCCCTGCATCCGTCCTCCCCCACGTCGTTGCCAGGCTCCCTGCGCGTGTATGCGTGCGTGTTTGTTTGTGCGTGTACAAACGTCAGTGAATGCCTTTCCAAGACAGAGATGTGGGCTTACTTGATTACATCCACATCCTTACACACATGCAGAGAATCAGAGGACGCTTCCAGCCAGCACAAACGGGGCAGTGTGGGTCAGCCGAGGACACGTCGAGCAAACATTGCTCCTGTGCACAAATGCAGAAGCACCTGACCTCCGTGATGGACGATTATCTCCTGCTAGCGTCCATCTCAACAACACAGCCCTTCATCCAGGGGACAGAGTGCTGACCTAGCCCTTCACCCGGTTGCACCCAGGCAGACTACGCTCAGCAGCAGCACGCCAACCAGCCATAACAAGCCAGATAAAAGCTCTTATTTGTTTTACTTTGTCTCCTCCTGGCCTTTACATGCAATCACATCTGCTCTACATTCAGGCAATGACAGAGGTAAAGCCTGTGAAGCGCAGGGGGAGGAAGCCTGATGCTTCAAACGATGCTTCTTATTTCACCATTCGGTAGATTTGGAAAGAACAGTGAGAAGCTGTTTATTTGTGGCTGTTGGTGGCCAGCCCATCAACATGCTGGTTGGCTTGTCACCACATCTTTTTCCAGTGATTTTTACCGCTTTGGCTGCAAAGCGTTTAAGAGATTAAAACGTTGATTTCCGGACCCTCAGTGACAGACTGACGAGAAACAGTTAGTCTACATTTTCATCTGTTTGTGGAAAAAGAACAAGGAGGGGTAGTGGTGAAGGGGTGGTACAAAAACATTAAAACATGAGGCCCCTTTTGTCTCCTGCACTCACCACCCTGACATCTGAGCCTGTGACTGACAACACAACTGGGTTATTGTGGTGCATCTCTTTCTCTTTCTCACACACACACACACACACGCACACAGATCAGATTCACGTGTGTGTGTGACGTTAAACAGAAGGGGAACAGAGCTTGGAGGGGAGAGGAAGCTATCGTCACAACCACAGGAAGTAGGCCTCCCTGAGGGGTGTCAGAGAGAGAAAGAAAGGCCTTGGGGAGGGGCTTGAAGGCTGAGGCTTCCTGCTGAAAAGATATGACCCATATGTGTATTTTGTGTGTCTGCAAAAGCTTTTTGACTGTTAAAAAGTGTATTACAGGGACTGTATGTGACTAACACAAGTCTCTGCAGATGTGAAACAAGGAGAGCCGAGTCAAAACCTAGTCGGTTTCAGTCATACTCCTAAAATATACCTCAGACACACAGTCATCTTGTGTGAACAGCACGTGTGTCCAAGTCATGACTCACACAAGCCTCGTCAACAAAAACAAAACAGTCAAGTGACAAGCATTTATTTCACCATTTACTTGGTTCTGACCCTGGGTGTTAAGTTAATGTTTGTCCTCTTTTAAACTTTGTAAAAGTGAAAGACAAACATATGGTGACAGAATGAGCGTGTGTATGCTGAATAACTCCTCCTACTAGTTACTTGCGGCCGTTTCATTTTCACAGAAACTCTGTATTACAGAGAAAACTGGATTTCTTGACAGATTTTTGCGCACACTGCTGTCTGAATCGAGGTGGATGACTCAACACCTGGCATATGACTCTGAAGAAAGGAAAACTGCATGTAAATCCTGACTAACCAGAAATCCGAGAGGACGTGGGTGTCTCATTGACAACCGACAATGGCTTGCTCATTATCACTCTCGATTTCCACACTTCAGCAACCTCAAAAGCCCCCAAAACTTTCTGTTTATTCGGGTGGTTGTTTTCAATGACAAAACTACGAGAAGCTCAGGACAAGATAGAATATTACACTACCACTTGTCATAGGAAAAACAGCCTCAAAATAACTACTGCAAAAATCCCCCTCCCTTGTACTGCTCTGTCGCTCTCCTGGTGCTTCTATTCTGCATCCAGGACTAACACACACACACACACAC